TCCCAGGGTCAAACGCGGTGGGGAGGCTGACAGTTGGATTGGGGGGGAGCGAGCGAAGCGAGCAGGGGGCGAAGCCCCCTAGTTTAATGAATGTAATTACAAACTTCGCATTTGAATTACGTGCGCCAAGGAATTTGGACGACACTTAGGGCGCAGGCGCCAAATTATTGATTAATGGTCGCGCAACAGGTGGCCTAAGGCCCGCCGAGACACTCCGGTCCCAACAGCAATCACACGAGGGGCTATTCACAGAGGGATTGGGTGACACCGCAATTACAAAATGTAATCGATTACCCAGGATTACGGGAGTGATTACACTGATTACCATTGCCTATGTGATAACCGTGATTAACAAGAGCACAGAATGTGATTACATGATTACAAATGATTTCGTCGATTACATTCTGTGATTACCAAACATCTGTAACCATTGAAATCACAAAAAATGGCCTCTTATTAAATATGAATTGAGGGAATAATTAATTATTAGAACCTGCAAAGAAATGAGGAAGGAGGGGCGGGGATTAGAACAGAGGAATGCAGTCTCCATGACTCCATCTAAAAATTTGGGCATTTATAAGTGCTATCAGCAAAATAAATTTACTGAATATCTACCATTGATGGGGAATGAAACTTACCAGCAGATAATTCAGAGATAATTCAGTCGTTGGTTCTCCAGAATAAGAAGAAATTTTAACTCTGTTGAATCAATTTTCTACGGACAAATGCTCTGTGCAAAACGCATTGGCTATGCAAGGTTATGAACCATAAACATCTGGGATTCCAAGAAAATTTGAACCAGGGGTCTCCAAGACTTATCGTTGGTAGAAATGACGCGCTCGAAAATTCAAAAACAAAATTCACGGTCTCACTAGAAGCAACTACGAAAGATTACACTGATTACAAGTGATTGCAGTGATAATCAATGATTACCACTTGATTACCAAAACTTGATTACAAATATGGTAATCATGTGATTACGATTGATTACATCAGCGAGTGACACGACGATAACGCCTGTGAATAGCTCCTCGCACTCACGTGTATAGAACTGTAACAATCTAATATAATTACTGTGTCTATCTCGTATTATATATTTAATTATTGTTTATTGTGTGGAAAGAGTCGATTTCCGAGGACTTTGCTGAGCAATACATGAAGAGAATTCTTGACATAACTGTGGGTAATTATTTATCGTAGTATTTATCCATCATTTCTCCTTTCTCTCTCAGTCGAAATCTATTTCTTTGGGTCTTCCAACTTCCACTCCCTAAGCTGAGTCGATTAATTGCTGTTAGTTGACGTTAAACTAACTGGCGCCCATCAGAATTAGTATCATTATCGAATAAGAATATTATTTTGTGGATTTTCATGAACTCAGGCCGCGCCAGGCGAAGGCCTTCACTCTAATTTTTATTGCAGTCGAGTTTAAAGTTTATTATCGTTTATTTATTAAAATCGAAAGGCTTGTTTGCGTTTTTAGAATGTCTCAACTTTTTCTTTTAATTTTTTACACTAAACACGACTCGATTTCTCGTAATAAAAATGTTGGAAGTTCAAACCCCATTTTTTCTAGTGTAAAAACTTTTTTTCTTCTTTCCAGTCGCGAAGGAAAATCCAAGACTGTGGAAAAAGCTGTGCGCCGTAGCATCGAGGTCACTTCAGCAGCAATTCGCTGCAGAAAACTCCAGAGAGACATGAACCAATTTATCAAGCAATCATTGTCCCGATGATAAGCAACAAATAACCGGACGATCTGGGATTTCATCGTAAAGGCTATGATTGCGACAAAAAGTTAGATTGGAGAAGCAAGGTGTTTTGTGGGCAACATCCGATGCGTCTGTCATGATCGGGACACTATCCAGAAACGTTTAAGGTGAGAAACCCGGCAGGGGAGAGCAGACTGATGTAGGTAAAAAACGTAACAATTACTTAAATGGGTAGGTTTCATGTTGTGTCCAGGAGGTGGAACATGCTTGCTGTTCGATGGGAGAAAAACATAACATTGATTGGAGCTCGTACCGTATTCGGTGGTTACATGACCCTTTCCCATTTATGAATTGCTCAAGTCGCGGATGGAAAATTGATCTGCACGGAGAGAAAAATTGGTGAAAAATGACCAAACAAGTCGAATAATCTTTTTACCCTGTATCGGGGCAAAAAGTGCGAGACAAATAGTGAATTTTTCTCCGTTGGCCCCGAAAATTTAGTCAACGTGAGGATCATTTGTGCTGAAACTGTAAAATTGATCTTGTATTCCATAAAAATTGTCCCGGTGAACATAAAATATCCTCCACAGACAGGTTTCTTTTCATTGAACTACATTTTGCTCCGCGATTATCTTTCGCACAGTAATAATTCGCCACGAATTTCTAGGTAATTTTTATTCAACTTTTCTGTCTGTGTATTTCAAAAATATTGACTATTGTTGGTTATCAGCTACTAATCGTCAGGGTTGTGGGCACTTGGGTACCGGAACGCCACCGCGAGGTGGCGCAATACCCAATCACAGCCACTGAATACTCGTCATTGGCGTTTGAAATCAAGACGCCATTGACGTCTCGTCTCATTGTCCACCTTGTCAATCCATTTATCAAAAAAAAATCTTGAAAAAGTTGACGCAGTGTCATAATTGTCATTTTTGTGTCTCAATTTATAAGAATTCTCCGACGAATGTCAGGTGTTTGCTCTATATATTGCGTCTCTAATTCTCCTGACCTAATTTTTGCATTCATAGAAGTGTTGTTTTTACCGAATTAATCATAAAATATCCTCCACCAACAGGTATTTTTTCATTGAGTTACATTTTGCTCCAATTACCTTTCGTACAATAAAATTTGCCACGATTTTCTAGGTAAATTTTATCCAACTCGTCTTTTCGTATAAAAATTACTTGAATTTACAGACACTAATGCCTTAAAAAAGCGGATTAAAGTGTCTTAATTCGGACACTAGTCTTTTTAGTGCAGATAGATGGAATGAAAAATTCCAGGGGAGAAAAATTCACTATTCGTTTCGCACGTTTTGCCCGGATGAAGGGTGAAAAACACCTACACTGAGAAAAACATCCTAATTAACTGAAATATATTTAGTTGAGACCGGTAATTTTTCCTCAATCACTTAAGGATGTCCAAGTGCTTTGGCTTTTTTCTACAATGACATGATTTTCCACTTTTGAAGTCGAACATTAGAACTGTCATTTGAGTCCCACTTGACCCCAAGTGTCCAGACATTTTACAATGATTTTATTATTTAAACTTTGCAGGTCGAAATTTGAATCTCGATATTAAACCTTTAGAAAATATTTTTTTAAATCTGAAGAAAAATTATAAAGTTTACTTTTGAATGAAGATTGATGAAATAATTTGAAAATTCCAATTTTTTAAAATGACGAGCATTTTCTATAAATAATCTATAAACAATAAATTTCCATACTAAAAATCATTTGTTCAGAATCGTAAAGAAATCGATTTCGCGCCTAAAAATATAAGGTTTTCGAAAGTTTAAAAAATTTCAATGATTTATTTATAAAAAATATAATTTTAATGACACTACTTATTCATAATTTTTTTCAAATCGTTCGCACGCAATTACTTAACAAATTTGATGATTGAAGAAGTTGTGTCAAATTGTAAAAAATACTTTAATATTCTAAATTGTTATCCATAAGATATTTTTTATCGAGCAGATCCCATGCAACTTGTCGGGAAGCTCTCCCGAAATCTTCCCTCACCGCCACCCTGGCCGCGCAAAAAAAACGTTACCCTCTGAAAAAGTTTTCTCAATCCATCCCACCCACAGAATCATCACCCCCAGCCATCATCATCCCGGAATTCTCCCCGAAACCCGAAAATTTCCAGAAAAATCATGGGAGCGAGATTCCGCAGCATCCGCCCGTCCGCCCGGCAGGAGCCGTAATGCCAGTCTCCCAGTTCCCCCGTCGCAGCGCCACCGTCTCCGCCACCGAAAAATGGGCGTGTCCTCCCCCCCATCCGCCGGCGGGATTGGCTGAGCGCGGCGAATCCCATTGGCTCCGCATCAGGTGGACGTGACCGTTTCCGCCGGAACGATGCTGCGCAGTCATCTCGGCCCGGCCCCGCCCACTCACCTCGGCGATCCCGACCCCGTGGGACCCCCGTGCATGCCGTTGCCACTAGCCGTGACACATTCGACAAGCGGCGCCGTAACGGGAAGCAACGCGCGGCTGGGGACATTGAGACTGAGAGCACCAACGGTCCACAGGAGAAATCACTCCGCCCTCACCACGAAATATCGTTCCGGACGTTAAAACGCGTCGGTGTTACCGAGTGCCGGCGAGAGTGATGACTCTCAAGTGATATTTAAACAAATTCTCCGGCAAAAACTCGTCAACTCTATGAGTTTGTGATCCCCAAGGTGACCTTTCCATCAACATTGACGGGAAGAGAAAAATAGTGCAAGTGAAAATAAACGGCGGAACGCGCGTGTAAACACAGTTGATGCGGCGCGTGTTGACAGTGTCGTGACGCGGCGAAAGTGAATCCGTGTGATCCGAACGTTTTTGGCGTTACTTGAGCGTCCGGCACCATTGATTCAGTGATATACAATCGTAAACAATCGAATGGTGATCAATTGTCATTGAATAGTATTGAGAGGACATTGGGGCACGGGCTAGGCCAATTGTTGGCTCAACGGCCTCACCACGCGCTCCGACGAGTGGAGCGGTCTCCTGCCCAGCTCCACTATCGTGGGTGCTGGGGGGTCACCATGGTTGGGATTGGGTGCTGGTGGTGGCGCCGGAGCAACAACTGGCGGTGGAAGTCCTGTGGAACTCGAGGGACACTGGGGAAGAAAATTGTATGGGGCGAGTGTTGCACCACCACCACCACCTCCGCATCATCATCCCCGTGCACCACTTGTTTTTGCACCACAGGACATGAGGCAAATACTCAAGGAGGAGCCTGTACCACGTGCTTGGCCACAGCCTGCTCTTGCTGACACAGCGTCGTAAGTTTTTTTTTTATGAATATTTATCGGGAAAATTGCGACTGAGGGAATGGCAATGGGTTTTCTTCTTGAAATGTTGACGGCGGGGAGGATTTCACGTTGAGTAAAGGAAAAATTGTTTGAATTTCAACAGCGTCTCTTGAAGTAGGGGAGAGTGGGGTTAAATGGACCGCTTGAAAATGTTGATAACTTCGGAATGGCTGAGTGAACTTACTCGGGGTTTGTTTGAATCACAAAGTAAGTTTTGGGCTTTGAAATGAGATGTGATTTATGAAAATCGCATCATTTGGTCGGGAGTTGTGTGGGAAATTAAAAATTGTTGGAACAAACAGATGATTTTTCATCCATTTCGCATTTTGAGAAAAAAAATTATTTGCTAAATAAATAACCGAATTTTTTATATTTTTCCATTGAAGTTTTTGGCTGAAATAAATTTGTTTAGAGTAAATTATGTGGTTCAATCAGATAAATAACGAAGTAACAAAGAAATTGCACTTGAGTTTTTTTCTTGAAATGTTGATGGCGGAGAGGATTTCACGTTGAGTAAAGGAAAAATTATTTGAATTTCAACAGCGTCTCTTGAAGTAGGGGAGAGTGGGGTTAAATGGACCGCTTGAAATTGTTGATAACTTCGGAATGGCTGAGTGAACTTACTCGGGGTTTGTTTGAATCACAAAGTAAGTTTTGGGCTTTGAAATGAGATGTGATTTATGAAAATCGCATCATTTGGTCGGGAGTTGTGTGGGAAATTAAAAATTGTTGGAACAAACAGATGATTTTTCATCCATTTCGCATTTTGAGAAAAAAAATTATTTGCTAAATAAATAACCGAATTTTTTATATTTTTCCATTGAAGTTTTTGGCTGAAATAAATTTGTTTAGAGTAAATTATGTGGTTCAATCAGATAAATAACGAAGTAACAAAGAAATTGCACTTGAGTTTTTTTCTTGAAATGTTGATGGCGGAGAGGATTTCACGTTGAGTAAAGGAAAAATTATTTGAATTTCAACAGCGTCTCTTGAAGTAGGGGAGAGTGGGGTTAAATGGACCGCTTGAAATTGTTGATAACTTCGGAATGGCTGAGTGAACTTACTCGGGGTTTGTTTGAATCACAAAGTAAGTTTTGGGCTTTGAAATGAGATGTGATTTATGAAAATCGCATCATTTGGTCGGGAGTTGTGTGGGAAATTAAAAATTGTTGGAACAAACAGATGATTTTTCATCCATTTCGCATTTTGAGAAAAAAAATTATTTGCTAAATAAATAACCGAATTTTTTACAATTTTCCATTGAAGTTTTTGGCTGAAATAAATTTGTTTAGAGTCAATAATGTGGTTGAATCAGATAAATAACGAAGTACCAAGGGAACTGCACCTGAGGAATTTTTTTCACGCAGAGGGAAGGAAAAATTATTTCAATTTAAATAGCGTCTCTGGAAATACGGTAGAGTGGAGTCAAATGGACCGTTTCAAAATGCTGATAAATTCGGAACGGCTGAGTGAAATTTCCGAAGTTTTCTTTCATTCTCAAAGTAATTTTTGGGCTTTAAAATGAGGCATGATTCATTAAAATCGCATCATTTAGTCAGGAGATACTGACGATCAAAGATAGTCTGTCTAAAAAAATGTTAAATTATCGAACAAAAACCACTGATTTTTTTAAATTTTTTTCGCGGACTGAGAAAAAAATCATTATGTTGAATAAATAACTAAATTTATTAGACATCAGCATTGAAATTTTTGGCTCAAAAAAATTCGGTTAGAGTAAATAAAGTATTTGAATCTAGTAAATAAAGAAGTGACAAAGTTTAGGTTCGATTATATTCTTGCTGACACAGCGCCGTCATTTTTTTCTGATGTATATTTATGACAGAAATTTTCCTCGAGGGTTTTTTTTGTTCAGATCAGCTTGAAAATTCCCTTCAGTACTAAATTTAAAAAAAAGGAAAAGATTCATTGAAAAAATGGGGCAAATGGACATTCTTGAATCGTCAATAACTCGGCAACGGCTGAGTGAAATCTCTCGATTTGTTTTTCATTTTCACTCATTTATCAACCTTTCAAATGAGACATGATTCATCTAAATCGCATCATTTCCCCAGGAGATATTGACGCTGAATGATGATCTGTTTGGAAAACTAAAAATTATTGAAACAAAACAGGTGATTTTTTTATCCATTTCCCATGCTAAAAAAATAAATTCTTTATGTTACATAAACCTTCAAATTTATTAGACAACTCATTGAAATTTCCATCTCAAACAAATTCATCTAAAATCAATAAATCAACGAATAATTTATTTCAATCAAGTAAATAACAAAGTAAAAAAGCTTTCATTCAGTCTTCAATTCCATTTTATCCGCATATTTATTGACGTCCAATAAATAGTTTTTTAAATATTAAAAATGTTCATGATTTATTAGAAACGAAAGACTTATTCATTTCCCACTGAAACAAATAAACAAGTTCACTGACTTCCGGCCAAAATAATACTGAAATAAATAATAAAATTTCAAACATTTTTTTTCCATTCAAATACGTCATCTCTCCGGGTGCAAAACTCCCAAAAAAGTTCATAAATTGAGAGAACATTTCACCTCTCGAGGAAATACCGAGCATATGCTCGTGCCGTCGGACAGCGCATTGGTCTCTACCACTGCCCCCCTAGAAAAATGATCCCACCGAAGGATTAAATCAAGAAAAATGTTCATTTCAAAGACATTTAATTCCCCCTCGTCATCATGAAAAAATGATCCAAGTCAAACAACGAAAATAAATGCAGGCGAGATTGAATTTTCATGAAGCATAAATACGTAGTTACGGAGTTATAAAGAGCCATGAAAAGAAGATAGTAAAGATAGAGAGTAGCGTGCAGCGGTGGGAGAATGCTCAAGCGAGCGTGGGTCCCCGCGGCGAAAGATATTGTTATAGATTTTTATGCGACGGTTTTAAACGCCCTCGTCGTTCATTGTCAAGTATAAAATGAAAATAAATGTTACGGTTTTCTATCTCCTCGCGGGGGTGTGGGGGTGGTTTTTCACGGGTGTTTGGTGTGTCCATGACGGGTGTACACGGGTGTATAACAAACACGAGTCACACATACAGTGGGTGAACAATAAACCGCGGTTTATTGCGCCGCTTCGCTTAACGGATTTGTACGACGTGCAAACGACGCGAGGCGTGCAAATACCACGGGAAAACCCGAAGGTAAACCGAGAGAGTCAGTGAGTCAGAGGTGGCATGGGTATTTTCTCTAATCCAATAGTGGTGGTCCCTTTAACGAACTTTAGTGGGCGAAAAGATGTGGGAAAATTCAGTGGTGAGTTAATGGTGGAAAAAAATTTGGGGAAATAGTGAGGTTATCATGGAAATCTTGAGGAAAAATTACTGAAAAAGTCAAGTGAGGCGAGGGGCTATGCACTCGTGAAATGACTGTGTCACTCTGGATTGAAATCACGTGAAGTCAGTCGAAGTCGAATGAAATTAGTGAAGTCATGGGATTCAATCGATTTCAGGTGATTTCGGAAGAAATCACATACAATCACTTGTAATCAGTGAAATAACATGGAATCATGGAATCAGCGAGTAATCAGAACCGGCAAAGGGTCATAAGGGTCAAACGGAAGAGACGAGCAACACGAGCCTTTCAATCAATTTAAATCGTGAAATCGCAAAAAAAATCCAATCCCATGAAATCTACACTTTAAAAAAATCATTGAAATTGTCTATTGGTTTCAACGGTTTTAAAATGATTTATTCGACTCAAATGAAGCAAACTGTTAATTCGTAACCAAAATATTTAAATAACGACCCTAAGGGTCAAATTACTCCGCCCCCACAAATTATTCAACCCTTCAAACTCACATTTTGCAAAAATTAAAGGACGAAAATCACATGCAATGACTTGAAATCAGTGAAGTTCGGTGAAAATTCGGTGGTGAGTTAATGGTGGAGGAAAATTTGGGGAAATAGTGAGGTTATCATGGAAATGTTGAGAAAAAATTACTGAAAAAGTCAAGTGAGGAGAGGGGCTGTGCACTCGTGAAATCACTGTGTCACTCTGGATTGAAATCACGTGAAGTCAGTCGAAGTCGAATGAAATCAGTGAAGTCATGGGATTCAATCGATTTCAGGTGATTTCGGAAGAAATCACATACAATCACTTGCAATCAGTGAAATAACATGGAATCAGCGAGTAATCAGAACCGGCAAAGGGTCATAAGGGTCAAACGGAAGAGACGAGCAACACGAGCTTTCCAATCAATTTAAATCGTAAAATCGCAAAAAAAATCCAATCGCATGAAATCTACACTTTAAAAAAATCATTGAAATTGTCTATTGGTTTCAACGGTTTTAAAATGATTTATTCGACTCAAATGAAGCAAACTGTTAATTCGTAACCAAAACATGTAAATAATGACCCTAAGGGTCAAATTACTCCGCCCTCACAAATTATTCAACCCTTCAAACTCACATTTTGCAAAAATTAAAGGACGAAAATCACATGCAATGACTTGAAATCAGTGAAGTTCGGTGAAAATTCGGTGGTGAGTTAATGGTGGAGGAAAATTTGGGGAAATAGTGAGGTTATCATGGAAATGTTGAGAAAAAATTACTGAAAAAGTCAAGTGAGGAGAGGGGCTGTGCACTCGTGAAATCACTGTGTCACTCTGGATTGAAATCACGTGAAGTCAGTCGAAGTCGAATGAAATCAGTGAAGTCATGGGATTCAATCGATTTCAGGTGATTTCGGAAGAAATCACATACAATCACTTGCAATCAGTGAAATAACATGGAATCAGCGAGTAATCAGAACCGGCAAAGGGTCATAAGGGTCAAACGGAAGAGACGAGCAACACGAGCTTTCCAATCAATTTAAATCGTAAAATCGCAAAAAAAATCCAATCGCATGAAATCTACACTTTAAAAAAATCATTGAAATTGTCTATTGGTTTCAACGGTTTTAAAATGATTTATTCGACTCAAATGAAGCAAACTGT